CATGGTCTTACTAAGTTGCCCAGGCTGGTCTTGAGTTTGTGATTCTCCTGCCTTAGCCCCTTGCATAGCTGGGATTACAGGGATGCCCTCCTGTGAGTTTAGTTGGTACGAATGAACTCTTGAGAAATGTTAAATTTTATGTTATGTATATTTGCCCCAATATAAGATATCCAAACTTAGTGACATAAAGTAATAGTTGTTTTTTAGTTCACAGATCTCTTGGCCAGCTGGGGATTCTTCTGGCCTGGACCAGATTGGCTGTTTTCCCCAGAGCGTTCCCAACTGACCGGTCAGCTTGTGGCTGGGTGGTTGGGTGGCTAGCAGGCTGTAACCAGAGTGTCAGGGGATCGAATCTCATCATCTAGCAGGCTCTTCCTGGAACCCTCCACGTGGACATTGCAAGAGAGCAGATCCCGGTGCTCACACAGGACTATGCTTGAGTCATATTTGTTACTGTCCATTTAGTCCAAAGAAGTCACAATGGGCACCCAGATTCAAGGAAGTAGAGATTTATCTCCTGATGGGAAGAGCTACATATTTTTATAGCCATTTTTTTAACTTAGTATACTTAGTCAATCTTGACAACAACTTCTAAGAAAGAAATACTATTATTACTGCCTTTTACACATTAAAAAACATGGCAGAAAATAATTCAGTGGCTTTTCCAGGGCCCCACAGCTTCTAAGTGGTGATCCAGGATGCCTGGCCAGGCTTGTCTGAACACATCCGCACTTCCAGCCTGGAGGTGGCTCAGATTAAAGAGCTCAAGCACTGTGTGATCCCAGACATTGTGTGATCCCAGACATTGCGTGATCAGATCTCCGTTTTGTTGCATGCAACTCTGGCACATCAAAGTTGCTCTGCAACACATAGTTTCTTTCTTCCCTTCCTGCACCTTCATACAAGTCTGCCATCCATTCATTTAACAAATACTTGACCACCAGTTGCATACCAGATGTTGTTCTGGTGCTGGAGATTAAACAGTAGACAAGGTAGCAAAAGACCTGACTTTTGTGGGAGAGAGAGACAAGTAAAGCAAGTGCACACTATTTCAGGTAGAAGGAAATTCTATAAAGAAATTAATAGCAGGGCAAGGGATCTGAGTGTCTGAGTGAGGTCTGGTAAAGGTAAACCTGTAGGTTGTGATTAGGGGCCAGGGACTCTTCCCTTTATAAATTGAGCCTCCTGGAGAAAATGGTAGTGTTGGTTACTTCTGGGGATGGGAGGTAACCAACCCTACCATGGTAAAGGGATGGAGAAAGACTTCACAGCCTGACCTTTGAATTTTTTAAACAATGAGACTTGCGCTATTCCTGTTGTAGGACAGATGAGGCGGGTTGAGGAATTATCAGGAGAGTCGCTTTGGTGGGGTTCCTCCTTCTAGCTCTAAAATTCAAATTAATATGGTACAGTATTTGTTTTGTTAGTTGTTTTCTGAGCACTTTTTTATATACCCCTGCAAGCCTTTTTTTTTTTTTTTTTTTAAGAAATAATCAAGGGGCTGGGGATGTGGCTCAAGCGGTAGCCGCGCTCTCCTGGCATGCGTGCGGCCCGGGTTCGATCCTCAGCACCACATACAAACAAAGATGTTGTGTCCGCCAAAAACTAAAAATAAATATTAAAAAATTCTCTCTCTCTCTTTAAAAAAAAAAAGAAAGAAGTGTTTAACTAGAGGAAACAAGTAGGGAAATACATTTCCCTTCACTTGATATTCTTAATTCTTAAGTAACACAAAAGCTGAGGGGGTGGTGGGAATGTATGCTTAGTTGATATTGAATGCTTATTATTTCTGTCATAGAAATTCAGGATACAGGGATCTGAGGTGTAGCTCAGTAGTAGCCTAGTATGTGAAAAGTACTGCTTTCAATCCCCAGTACCCCCTACCCCCACCCCACCCCACCCACCCACACACACAAAGGAAGAAGAAATTCAGGGCTCAGCAAATTTGGCTTATATTTTTATGAACATATCAGTAAATCTAGGGACATTCTGCCACATGTAAGTTGTGTGGCATTATTCAGAGGTCACAAAATGGAATAAGCAGGATTTCCCTCCCTTTCACTATGCACAATTTATAATTCATACTTCCACTTAAGGATCATATGATTTTAGGCAATTCTAGGCAAAAGCATAAAGTTGGAAAATCATTTTCACTCTTTCTGTATCCTCTCATTTGGGTATAGTCAGTGCATGTGTTGGCACTCCATTCAAGTTTTCTAGAAGTTTCTGAGTGGATGTTCTGAATACTATCTGACTTTCCTCAAAATACAGCATGTATATAGCATAATAATGGGCATGTGTTCTGAGAAATGCATTGTGGGTCACTTCAGCATTGTGGAGACATCACCAAATGTATAAGCAGGGCTTTTGTAACCAGAGATCTGACTTCTATCAAGTCTAAAGCATATTACTTAGACTAACATCTTATTTGGGGAGAGTCAAACCCAGAGCCTCACACTGCTAGTGGAGTGCTCCATCACTGAGCTACACCCCCAGCCCTGGACCAGTATCTGAAGTCTCTTGATTAGGTCTAGTTCCTGGCTCAATAGTACTGTTAGTTGGACAACCTTTAGTAAGCTAACTGGGCCACAGTTCCATCTGTAAGACAGATCACAGTCAAAATACCTTCATCACAGTTTCTCAACTCCAGGTTTTTCTCAATCACTTGGAACAAAACCTGATTTGACTCCAAGTTGAAACCCTCTTGGTTTAAATATTCTGAGTTTTGCTAAAGAAATACTAATGATCCATCAACAGATCAGTACATCTCACTGTTAGGGCTCTATGTGTACCTTATTGTCTGTTTTCTGGACATGAAAAATTCTGAATTCTGCTAGTTATCTGGCCATGGAGGTTTCATGTGGATTGAGGTCTGTAATATCTTCCTGAAGATTTAGTAAAGACTAAAGGTTACGTACATATTGTGGTTGGAGTGCAGTGTGTGTATAAATGAATGATGGTCATTGCTTTTGTGTCTAAATCCAGTTCTGAAGTGTGTGAGTTTTGTGCTTTTTGTGTTTTCCCTCCCGAGCAAACCTGTTTTAATAAAAATCAGGAAGGCTGCAGGGTGGGCTGGTAGTTGTCCTACAGTTCTGGGAGTTCAGTCTTGTACTTAGAGCCACTCTACACCCTTCCTTCAATGTCATTGAGCCTTGTTTTCTCATTTGAGCCCTGTTTTGTCACCTGAGATGTGCACTGCATCTCAGACAGCTGTAGAAAACAGCGGGACACCCTAGGGACAGGCTCATAGGACTCAAGCTGTGGAAGCTGTTTTCCTCGTGTGCCTTACCTTCCTGTGTAGTAGTATTCCTTAATTTGAAGGAACTGTTGTTCAAGGTGAGGTACTTAAATGGGTGACAGGAAAAGTGATGTGTAAAGGAGCCAGGGAAGGAAATTCTGTAGCTTGCCCCTTTTATATAGGGGCACAAAAATGTATGCTTATTACTATTGCATGCTTATTATTGTGTTGGGAAAGGGGTAGTGTGTTCTGAGATGGCTGCTCTTCAGATCCCCATTGATGTACCTTTGCATTCACTGAAATGCCTGGTTAGACATCAGCCTCCAAGCCACTTGTTTGATCTGAAGATGAAAACATTGGGCAGCGCAGTGCAGGGAGTCCCTGTGGCTTGATGACAGTGAGTCATGTGAAGAACTGGCCTGGCTCTCCTCACAGAGCCATTATAGGGTTTCTTTTTATGAACTCTGTTTTTCCCCATTATGAAAGGGAAGGAATTGTGAATTGTTTTAAAATAGTCTAGGAATGTATCCTAGACTATTTTATATCCATTCCTGGATATTTTTATGTGCCACACACTGTACTGTACTTACATATGGTCACCACTAAACATTAGCTTTTATTAATAATTTTTTTTACTGGAAATGGCAATAAAACCAAATTCTCAAGATTATGTAATTTTTTAAAGCTTTACTCTTTAGACAAAAATAGTATGTAACCATGTTAGGAAATACACACAAATAAAAAAGAATGTAGTTCACCTGGACCACACCAAGTTCCAAGTTTCACTAACATCCCAGAGTGACTTTATGGGATTTCCTACTAGTAGGTACGCTGTATTTAAATAAAATACAATAAATAAACCAAAACCCACTTTCTTGCTATTAGATATTTCAGATGTTTCCCATTTCTCAAGAAGAGTGGGGAGACTGTGTGCGGGATGAGGGTGGGTTATGGGAATTCTGGACTTTCTGCTCCGTTCTTTGTGAACCTAAAACTGCTAAAAGAAAAGTTTATATAAAAATGTGCACAAACTGCAATTCTTTCTGATATACTTGCATTGTAAATGCTCTCCCCTTCAAAAAAAGCAGTCCTTGCTTTTCTTAGGGGAGTGTGTAACGCTCGGGAAACAGCTTTCTTCATTTTACTCCTTTCAAAGAGAAGAGGAAGAAATCTTAAAAGGAACAGCCAGCTTTCCAGAGGCCAGCAGAGGCGTAACAGGTGTTAATGGAGCTCCAGAGCGGACTTAGTGGTTGAAGTGGTAGAGGCGGACTTTATTTTCAGAAAAACGTTTGCAGTGGAGGGAAGAGACAACCCAGCGCAGTTCCAATTAGGCGCAAACGACAGACAGGATAGTGGGCCGGGTGGGGGCGGGGAGATTCTGGCCAAAGTGGGCAGACCCGGACATTTGCTGAAGGCAGGCCGGAGCGACCAGGTGTGCTGGTTGGGGGGGTTCTGGCTAAAAGGGGCGATGCCAAGACAGACACGTCGGAAAGGCCAGGTCTGGTCGGAAGCGGATTCGGCGGGGCCTGAGCGATGCTCGGTCCAAGTGAGACTCACCGGGAGTAAGAGCAGGCCTGTCGGAGGGGGACCGGGACCACCGCACTGTGGGTTCCGAAGAGAGCGGGAGCCTGGCAGGACCTGGACGGGGTTGGGGCGGGGGCGGGGCCGCGGCGCCACTTGCGGCTCGGGGGCGGGGACGGGGCGGGGCGCCACGTGCGGGGCGGGGTGGCCCGCTGGAGCCCTGCTCCGCCTGCGCAACTGGGGTTGGGGTGCAGGGAGCTCCTGCCGCGCCCCTCGGTGGGCGCCTCCCAGCTCCGTTGGGGCCTATGGAGGGACGACTCCCGTGCACCCGCGTTTCCAATGGCCGCAGCCGCCTGCAGCACCAAGGCTATGTCCCTCTTCAAGCGCACCTTGGTGCTGAGCCCCGCCGCGGCGCCCAGGGGCCCTGGCGCTGGCATCTCTCGCGGCTGCCCCTTACCTCCAGCCCCCTGGCCTCCCAAAGATGGGCCTCGGCTGCGGTGCCCGGCGGCCGGCCTCCTTCCCCAGTCCCACAGTCACTCCTGCTCCTCGACGTCTCCGACCACGGTGTGCCTTCTCTGTCCGCAGGACTCTCTCAGCAGCAGCTTGAAAACCTGCTACAAGTATCTGAATCAGACCAGTCGCAGTTTCGCAGCTGTTATCCAGGCGCTGGATGGGGAAATGCGGTGAGTGGCAGAGGCTGCGCTCTGACTCGGGAGAAGAGAGCTTTTCCAGGGGCCTTTGAGTCATTCCAGCCGAGTTTTGGTTTGTTTTTTTATTTTTTCTTTAACTCAGCACTTAGCATTGCAGTCTTCTTGCCCTGGCTTAGCCAGAAGTAGCCCATCCTGAGTGAAGGAAATGCCTGGAGTGGAGGAGTGAGATGGAAACGTGCATGTTTACTTTAGAATGCCCTCACAGGCACATGGCCATCTACTAGTGTCCCTGCAGGCCCGCCCTTTCAGAGAAGCAGTGGGGGATGGTGATGTTTATTAACTTTTTTTAGTCCTGGCAGCTGAACCTGCCCCAGAGAGGCTTAAGCATTTTTCTGGGTTCCCCTTAGGCTATTTTGTATTCTAGCTGCCCTTCCGAACAATCAGAAGCAGATGACACACGTGAATTTATACTAGTTGCCTTTATCTATGAGAAGTTACTATGGGTTTTTTTGCTTTCTTTTTTACCTCCAAAATATTAGTTGGTTCTAAACATTTGATCTGTTGGCACTAATGCCTAAACATTAGGAAACATGTAACTTTGTTAGATCAAACCTTTGCTCATAGGATATGAAAGACTCACTCTTTGTATGTGTGGACCTATTCAACCCTCATTGCTTACATTCCCTAACTGCCCATTTTGCCTAATGGCCTACATTAAATGTAGTTGATTCTGGGAGCAGAAGCAACATTTACCTAGTAGGTTTTAAATTTTGTGCCTTATAAATAGCTATAAAAGTATATTACTCCCATTTGAGAAAGGAAAATAAATAAGTTTGTTAAGTATGAAAGGGCTTGGGCTCCTTTCATAGTTCTGTGTAGTTAAGGGTGTAGGTGGATTTAGAAAATGGCCTGGTACAAATGACATGTTATCTTAAAACAGACACCTTTGGCTTCTTGTTCTAATACGTTAATAGCCTTCCCTTCTCCGCAGCCACGCAGTGTGCATCTTTTATCTGGTTCTCCGAGCTCTGGACACCCTGGAAGATGACATGACCATCAGTGTGGAAAAAAAGGTCCCACTGCTGCACAACTTTCACACTTTCCTTTACGATCCAGACTGGCGGTTCATGGAGAGCAAGGAGAAGGACCGACAAGTGCTGGAGGACTTCCCCACGGTAGCCAAATTACGAGTCTCTTCTGTGTACACGTCGTTACCCTGGCAGTGTAGTGTCAGCTGTCCCATGTAGCTGTAGAGGAAGGTAAAGTAAGCAGTCTAAGGGCAGCAGGATGTGATGGAGGAGAACCCTGGAGCCAGGTTGTCTGGGTTGGAATTCCAGCTCATTCACTGGCGCATAACTTCTCTGTGCCTCAGTTTCTTCATCTATAAATAGGGGACCGTAATATTATCTACCTCATGGTGTTGAGCTTTAGAAGAGTTGGAGTAGGTAAAGCTCTTGAATAGCATTGGCTACTATCCTTATTACATGTATGTTGTTTTGAAGTCAGTGTTTATTCTCATGGAAAACTGGATTCAGTTTTTGTGTTGAAAAAGGTAGATTGTTAGGCAGGCTTTCACAGTCTGACCTACTGTTATAATGTCACCTGACTTCCCTGAGCCTGGTTGCTTGGGGTTGGTGCTCAGCGCTGGTAGCACCTGTGAGGTAGGAAGTGAGCTCTTTTAGCAGCTGGGATGAGGGTTGAGCAGCAGGGTGATCCTCTGCCACTTAAAGTTTTATGATCCTGGGCAAATTCCTTAATTGCTTTCGCCTCAGTGTCCTCATTATTGAGGATAGAACTGTGAGGGTTGAGGAATTTCATACATACAAAGAATTTAGTGCCTGGGACATATTTACTTTTTGGTTTGTTCTCCTGGAACATAATTAAAGCCTTGAGCTTTGAGGATTCCTCAGGTTTATTTTATACAGGTGACTAGGTCCTACTCTTTTAGTGTTTGCACATGTCATCACGTAAATATAATAAGTGACTCTTTCATTTCCTGTGAGCAAAGGTTTGACTTAACAAAGTCACATGTTTCCTAATTGCTCACAGCAGCCCCCAAATTTGCCAGAGTTTTAATGAAAGGCAGACGTTGTGTTGCTTTTGCTAAGGAAATAAATCTACATATCTGAGTGGGAAAGAGAGTAGGAGAGTCTATCCCTTAGTTTGAGAAAGACTCCTTTGGGCAGGGGTTACCTCAGATTGCTAAGTTCATATCGTCAGTGCCAGAGCCCAAAATATAACATAGTATAATGTGAGAAAAGAAGAAAGAAAAGAGTCTATGGAGAAGGACGGGGTGAGGGAAAGTATTGGTGCTTGGTGCTCAGAGGATGGGTTCCCTCTGACTGGCCTTGGAAATTATAGCGATTCACTGAAGACCTTTGAATTCTGCTAAGGCAGATGTGCTGTAAGCAGTGGTTGCACCCCATTTATAATCAGAGTATTCACCCTTTAAAAAATAATATTGCTAGAGCTGGCCTCCAAAACAGAAAAAAACCTCCCAAACTACTTTTGAGTAGAGTAGATTTATAGTAATTGATTTCTGATCATGAGGTAAATGTCTTAGGTATTGTAAAAATGGAAGGCACAAACATGTGAATGTGAAAATCATTTGCGGGAGATACCTAGTAAATTTTCAGATACTGTTTCAATGTTTGTAAATGTAAGTATCTTCTTTTGCCTGCAGCATTTCATGGAAAAATCACACTCTGTTTTTGAAAGTTTCATATTTGAACATGAAGTAGCTGAGCCTATGGCACAGGACAGCGATTCCAGTGACTTGGGAGGTTGGGGCATGATGATCAGAGGATTGCAAGAGAGAGGCCAGCCTGACAACTTAAAAGAGAGATGCTGTCTCAAAATAAAAAGGGCTGGGGGTATAGCTCAGTGGTAAATGCCTTGGGGTTTAATCCCTAGTATCAAAATATGTACACACATCATTCAAACCTTGTACTCCAGGTTGTTATGAAGATGTATTTGTCAAGACAGGGCAGGTAGAACATGTTTTAATGAACAAGTTATTAGCTCAAGAGGTAATTTTTGTTTTATTTTTTTTGCCACCCGTGATGTGTGGACCTCTATTTGTACTCTTCTCCCAGGTCCCGCAGGTTCTAGGAATAATCCTAAATTGAGCATTCTGACCAAGGGAACTCTACTTGATGCACAGTTTGTGTCTGGAGTTTGGACTTGCTTCTTTTTGCCTTAGTGAACGTTAGCTGGTATCATTTCAAGCTGGGCTTTCTAGAACTCTTTATATATTATGGATTCAGGTTTACCTTTCTCACATGGAATAAATAGCAAGCTCAAAGTCATAGAGCTCTACCTTTAAATGTAGCTCAAGAAATAGCACTGGGTGGTTTTTAAATTATAATAGCAATACTATCATACATTTATTGAGTAACTTACTAGGAATCTGTACCTAAAAATATTTCATTGTTAATTTACTGTTTGTTATTTTATCTATAATAGTTTTGATAGGCAGGCTCCCTAGTATGTGATGTACCATTAACATCCACAGTTGCATAGTTGAGAAAGCAGAAGCATAAAGAAATTAAGCATTGGGCTGGGGTGGTGGCTCAGTGGTAGAGTGATGGCCTAGCATGTGCGAGGCGCTGGGTTCCATCCTCAGCACCACATAAAAATAAATAAAATAAAGGCATGTGTCCAACAACAACTAAAAATATATTAAAAAGACAAAAAGAACTTAAGCATCTACCTAAGATCACTTGTGAAGTTAAAATGCAGAATTGGAATTTGAATCCAGAAGGTTGACCCCAGAGCCCTTGTGTTTACATGGCACATTTTACTGCCTCTTTTAAAAGTTCGCTGAAACAAAAAACACTTTTTTAAAAATATAGGTGAAGGTAGACATGCCCAGTGTTTCAATCACAAAGCTCCTAAGGCTTATAATTAGGGAAATTTGTATTTAGGAGTTAATGGAAGCTCCATGCTCCCCTTGCCCACACCTTGGGATTTGTCCTTTGTCCACTATCCAAGGACTCACTGTTGACTCCTGCGTTTCTGTCCTTGGAATAGCTGGAAGTGACCCAAGACCTGGGTATCTGCTGTAATTGTTGGACAGAGCTCCCTGGAGGGTGCATGGGGCTCCCAGCCTCTTCCCAGGGCAGCAGGGTGGCTGGGCTTTGGGGGCGGGGTGGGGTGGGGGGAGGGCTTGAGGCCCAGCCTGAGGCTGAGTTGCTTGCAGGCTGTGCTTCTTCCTTCAGGCTGCAAGGAAATCAGAGCTCTTCCTGGTCCCTTTTTCCTGGATTTTTTTTTTTTCATTTTTTGAGTTACGTAATATGTAATAAATACCAAAATGTAGCTGAAGGGAATAGGTCAGACTTAGAAGGGGAAGTGTTTACAGTGTTTGTGTTTTGGAATCTAAGCTCCTGCCCTCCTTGGCCTGTCCTCTTATAAATAGAAATGCCCTGGCCAGGAGCTATGGAGAGTCAGGGATTCACATAACCCTGGGTAGAGTTGCTAGTTTGTTTCCCTTCACCCTAGGAATTACCTTTTGGCTTTGACTTGGAGCAGCTGTTCTGAAAAGAAGGGATTTTTCCTTGTGGCAGTGTTGGGAGGCGAGGGGGGTGGTGTACTGGGGATTGAAGTCATGTGTGCTTTAAGACTGAGCTAAACCCCAGCCCTTGTTGTTTTTTATTTTGAACAGGGTCTTGCTGAATGCCCAGGTTGGCACAAACCTGCATTAGCCTCTGGAGCACCCAGATTGGTTTAGTGGGTCTTTTGGGTTTAACAATTGATATTCCTCAGGGAAATCTGATAGGACCTCAGGCTTCTCCATTGCTGTGTCCCTTAGGCCAGCTGGTGCTTCCTTAAGTCCTTAAGTTTAGGTGTTTCCTGAGGAAGTTTTTCTAACCTTTCTGTAAACACAGGTCAAATCTCATACTTGTGATCTTTAAGAGCATCTATTCATTGTTGGCAGTGTTGTGTCAGCTCAGTTAATGTTTCTTAGTATTTTATTTAAGAAGTTCATGGTGCTTTTAGGTTGTATTTTGATAATCACTAAGCAGTTCTTTGAACTTTAAACTTAAATAAAATATTTGTGTAATAGCCAGGTTTAGTGGCAGGTAGTCCCATTGACTCAGGAGGCTGAGGCAGGAGAAGGTCAAGTTTAAGGCCAGCCGGGGAAAGTAGCAAGACCCTGTTTCAAAATAAAAAGTGGAAAGGGCTGGGAATCGGGGACATAACTTGGTAGAGTATCCCTCGGTTCATTCCGGGTACTGCAAAAAAAAAAAAAAAAAAAGAAAAGAAAAAAGAATTTGTGCAGTAGAAATAATTTTAAAAGAAAAAACAGGGGCTGGGGTTGTGACTCAATGGTAGAGCACTTGCCCAGCACATGTGAAGCATTGGGTTTGATCCTTAGCACCACATAAAAATAAATAAATAAAATATTTTTTTAAAAGAAAGAAATATCAGCACTACTTTTCTATGTTAGAGTCTGGGCTTGGGAAAAATTACTGGGCGGCAGACCTGCTATTAGTGGAGTTGTTCAAGGAATTCAAAGTGTGGCCTTAGAATGAGGAAGGCACTGCAGCTTCATGGTGTAAACTGAGAACTGATGATGGGAAGTGGGTCCTGCTCCTCACTAGAGCCCAGCTTTTTACGAGAGCACAGCTTTCTGTTTGGTACATGAAAGTACAGAATTTTTGTTTTCTATTTTTTACGATTTCCATTTCAGATCTCCTTGGAGTTTAGAAATCTGGCTAAGAAATATCAAACAGTGATTGCTGACATCTGCCAGAGAATGGGAACTGGAATGGCAGAGTTTTTGGATAAGAACGTGACCTCCGAACGGGAGTGGGACAAGGTCAGTGTCTCTGTGAAATAGGGTCTGTGGTTGGTACCTGAAATGGAACTGGCCGTCTTTACGGTTAAGCTCAGAATGAGGACAAAGTTGTCCACCAGTTCCAAGTTTTCTGATTTCATCTGTTTAGGTTGAATGACTCCTTGTAAACACTTAAAAGGGGCTTAAAGTTTAATGCTCTGTCTATGAAATTATCCAAGCCCTAGAGAGCTTACTACTAAATGAGGCCAAAGTAGATTTAACTTGTCTTCAAGGGTACTTAGAAAAGTACCCTTGAGCTTAGAAAATTGTATCTGATTTGGTGTGAAGATTAGGTAAATGACCAAATTATGTCATGTAATATAGAAATATGAGTAGTTTTCAAATTTTAAAAATAAAGGTTTTTGTTAAATTTTTTTTTACTGTGTATGTACATTAGTTGGTATCTGAGTTATTTTCAGTCCTATCTTAAGAAATATTTTAAACTCAGTGCCAGCTTGGCCAGTTTGTTTCTGAGACATCCCTGTCATTTATACTTCTATATAATGTGTCCATTTCCTTAGAAACAAAGAACAGCTCATGAGAATGCAGAGCTATTAATTTTGGATTGCATCTAATATCTGTTTCTTCCTTTGTTACCATCTCCTTATGGAAAGAAGGAACTTGGGGCCTGGTGGCATAGCTAAGTGGTAGAGTGCTTTCCTGGCATGTGTGAGGCTCTGGGTTCAATCTCGTTGCTGGAAAAGAAAAAAAGAATTAAGACACTTGGAGATGCTTCCAACTTTCTTTACACCCTCCCACAATTTATGTGATGGTTATTGACCTGGTCCATCTTGGATCACTATGACACAACACCAGAGATTGGGTAATGTATAAAGATATAAAATTTATTTCTCACGGTTCTGGAGGCTGGAAAAGTTCAAGGGACCTGTGTCTGGTGGGGGCTTTTTGCTGTGTCATAATGTGGTGGAAAGCAAGGGATTGAACTAGCAGCCTCTAGCTTTTTTATAACTGGTATTGATGCACGTATGAGGGCAGAGCCTTCATGTCCAAACACCTTCCATTAGATACCCCTGCAACCCTGTTGCACCGAAGATTGTTTCCAACACATGCTTTTTGTGGGGACACATTCAATCCATAGCAGTTATAGAAGAACATACCTGGAAACTGAACTGCGAGAAACTCCCCCTCCCCAGGGGACAGAAGTAGCTGGAAGGGCTGTGAGGATAGATGGTATAGCAAATACAATCATAGTAGCTTTTATCTGGACAGAGCTTGCTCCTGCCCAGCAGCTGTAGGCTTGTAGTCTGTAGCCTTGTAGGCTAGGCTGGCCTGGAGGTGAGGGAGAGCTCATCTGGGCAAGGGGATGTACTTGGCTGCAGGGGCCAAATGGAACATAAAATACGGGGTAGGGGTGGAGTGGCTTGTCCAGTTTTCCACAGGAATGGTGCTTGTGAGACCTACATGTCACTCCTGTGGAAGCAGGGACATTTAAAAAATCTAGATTTTGCATATTTTGTACCTCTACTAGGGCTTTAATTAGGATCTCAAAAGAGACACTGATCCATATTCATTGAGTCAGTGGGTCCAGAGTCTGGCCCATTCATTTTTGCACCTTAAAACTTGATGGAGAGGGCTGAGGATGTGGCTCAGTGGTGGAGTGCTTTCTGAACATGTGTGAAGTCCTGGGTTTGATTCTTGGCACTGCAGAGACCAGAAAAACTTGATGGAAATGTCTGTGAAACTGCTGATTTATGGTGAGTTAACAGGCGCATGCTTGGTGCTAGAACTTCAGTTTCTGGATTTAAAATTTTGAAATTTGAAATTGAAACTCCTTTTGGCCAAGGCCCATCCCTGGTTATCATGTAGTAACTCCTTCTCTGCAGTGCGGATTTACTGTTGCATAGCAGTTCTGATTAGATAAAATTGGATATTTTAAGATTTTTTTTCCCTTCAAATTTGAAGGAAGATGAATTATATAGGCCTCTATTCTAAGAGTGTTCCTACCCAAAGAACTATTATTTTAAAATGTGTTTCCCCCTAGAGAGCACTATAGATACACTAACGTTTTTCAATTTCTTATAAATCTTATCAATTTCAAGTAGCTATTCACAGCTAATTTTTTTTCTACCTAACTTTAGCCAATCTTTTTTTTTTAAAAATTTTAATTAATTTTTGTATATATGACAGCAGAACGTATTACTATTCATATTGCACATATAGAGCTCAATTTTTCATATCTCTGCTTGTATACAAAGTATATTCACACCAATTCGTGTTTTCATACGTGTACTTTGGATAATGATGTCCATCACATTTCACCATCATTCCTAACCCCTTGTCCCCTCACTTCCCCTCCCACCCCTCTGCCCTATCCTAGAGATCGTCTAATCTTCCCATGCTCTCCCTCCCTACCCCACTATGAATCAGTCTCCTTATATCAGAGAAAACATTCAACATTTGTTTTTTGGGATTGGCTAACTTCACTTAGCATTATCTTCTCCAATTCCATCCATTTACCTGCAAATGCCATGACTTTATTCTCTTTTATTGCTGAGTAATATTCCATTGTGTATATATATCACATTTTTTTTTATCCATCTACTACTTCAGCCAATCTTTACTCCTTCTAGGTTCTTCTTGTCTGAAAACACATTTCAAGTGCTTTCTCCTCATTTTGTTGTGTCCTTGATTCGTCTCTGGCCTTTTTCTCTTCCTGTAGACTGCCCAGAGAGTGTACCTTCTTTAACTACTCTTTTAAAATTGCCTAATAGATATTCATTTCACATAAAGGTATTGCATTTAGATGTCTTGGAACACCCTTTTCAAAGGAGGATAGCTTTGATAACCTGGTTTCAGGAAGAAAATTCTTTGATAGTTAAGAATTACATGTGCTAAGTTTTAGTGATGCTAAAGCCTGACTCTTAAGCCAGGAGACTTGCCTTTGAATCCCTGGCCCTCTGCTGCACAGATGAGTGATCTTATCAATGGACTCTACCTGTCTCAGTTTCTTCATCTGTGAAGCCAAGGTAGCAAGAGTAGGCACCACACGAGGTGTTTATGAAGATTGCTCATGCAGGGTGCTCATGTTAGCAGTGTTAGCACATGGTGGAGGTACTTTGTTCTTAAACATTCATTCCCATTAGCCAGAGATACAGGGTTGGTGTTATTTAGTGCACAGTTCTTACATGTACCTGTTTGTGTTTTTTAATCAAAGTAAGAGCTTGTACAATATTTGGAACAGGCTTTTTTTTTTTTTTTTTTGTAGCCAATGATATCCAGCATTTCCATTTCAGTGAAAATTTCATATTAAAAGACTTTAAAAATCATCTTTTGCAGTACTGTCACTATGTTGCTGGGCTGGTGGGAATTGGCCTTTCCCGTCTGTTCTCGGCCTCAGAGTTTGAAGACCCTGTAGTTGGTGAAGACGTAAACCTTGCAAACTCTATGGGACTATTTCTGCAGAAAACAAACATCATTCGTGATTTTCTGGAAGACCAGAGAGAAGGAAGAGAGTTTTGGCCTCAGGAGGTAACAGATTCTGGGTATTTTGGGGGAAAACTATTTTAAACACTTTGAAAACAAATCATGAAGCCCTGTGTTTACAAATGGCAGAAACAAGAGACCTACTGCTTTGGGCATCATTGGAGCTGGTGGGGAAGAGGTCAGGGTTCAGTTTGTTCAGTGAGTGGCAGCAGCCAGGACTAGCCTGTGTCATTGGCTGACTCCCCTCTTTCTCCCAGTGGCGGATGTAGCATAGGTACACTAGCTTAGCCACAGATTTCTTAGGAAGGGCTTGGCTCTTGGGCTTCTTCTAAATCTGTAAATCTGTTCTTATAGCCAGAGGGCTGAGTCCTCTAATTGACAGACTGAAGAGTTCTTCCCAGTCACATGTCTTTTACATACTCAGTCTGAGTTCAGGGTGGTTTAAACATAAATTTTTATTAGGTGGAAGACTGAGTATTTACCTGTGAACTATCTGTTCTTATCTCCTTGCCCATTTTTCTATAAGGTGGCTGGCCTTAACTTTTAGAAGTTCTTTTCATATTAGGTATATAAATGTATCATCTATAGTATAAGCTACCAATATTTTCCTACCTTTTGTTTTTTGTCTTTTGTTTTTGCAATACTGGGGATTGAAACTAGGGGCATTCTATCAGTGAGCTGCATCCTCAGTCCATTTTATATTTTGAGACAGGATCTTGATTAGTTGCTCAGTCTGGCCTTGAACTTGCACTCCCCCTGCCTCAGCCTTCCAAGCAGTTGGGACTACAGGCCTGCACCACTGCACTTGGCCCTCTCCCTCTTCTTGACACAGACCTCTTCTGGTGTGTTTAATAACCTTGTGTCCAGGTCTTTATGATCTGAATTTGATATGCCCATGCATCCATGTGCTTCTGATTAATTTGGTAAGTCTGCAGATGGTCATTTTTATTGTGCCTTTGTGCCTCAGCACTTCAACTCAAAATGGAGTACTTATTACAGTCTACTAACTCAGGTTTAGGCACAGCTTTGGAAATTGCTGTTCCGTACATGATGGAGTAACTCAACAAGGCCGTCTGCTTTCCATTTATTTATTTTTGTACTGGGGATTTAATCCCCGGGGGTGGTTTACCACTGATCTACATCCTCAGCCCTTTTTATTTTTTATTTTGAGACAAAAATCTCAGTAAGTTACTGAGGCTGGGCTTGAACTTATGATCTGTCAGTCTCCTAAGTCACTGAGATTATAGATGTGTGCCCTGTGCCCAGCTCACAATGTTATATAAATTTTGAATCATAAAGTTGATCATTATATTCAAGTCATTAGTATGATACTGTGATTTATGAGAGATGTACATTTGGACTGAGGCAGGAGGATTGGATTGTAAGTTCAGGGCTGGCCTGGGGAACTTGGTGAGACCCTCAGCAACTTAGCAAGATCTTGTCTCAAAATAAAAAATAAGAGGGATAGGGTATGGCTCAGTGGTAGAGTGTTCCTGGTTCAATCCCTTTTACTGAAAAGAAAGAAAATACACATTTGGTCTATGTCAGTTTTCTGGCACACTGCTTCTAAAACCTATGGAATCTCCCAAGAGATAAGTTTTCTTAATATGCTAATGAGACTGAATGGAGGGACCATTTGCCGAGGGACACAACATGTGATTAGAAGGTTGTAGGTTGAGTTGATCCCCAGTGGCTAATGATTTAATCCATCATCCTGTATAAGGAGCTTCCCTAAAAACCCACAGGACTGGGATCAGAGAGCTCTTTAGCTATAGGGTGGCTGGCACCCTAGAGGTCATGCAAACCCCTTCTCCCACACGTCTCCAAATGCATTTCTGACACCTGGCTGTTCATCTGTGTCCTTTATAATACGAAACCTTGAAACATAGTGCTTCCCTGAGCTCTGTGAACCACTCCACTAAACTACACCTAAGGAGGGTATTGTGGGAACCCCATTTCATAACCAGTTGGTCACAAGTCTAGGGGGCAGTCTTTTGAAGTGACCTGTGGGATCTGAAGCCCTCTCTGGGTAGACATCGTTAGAATTGACTCTGCTACAGGATGCCCAGTTGGTGTGAAGTTGGGAAGCCTTCTGGAACTGTGTTTCTGGGGAGGCTGGTTCTGAGGGAGGGACACAGGTCACCTGGGATGTGTTCCTGTGGGGCCTTTAAGTTTACAAGAATGCCAGGGATGCAAACAGCAAAATCCAGAGTGTAGGAAATCTGTCAGGCCACGGGGCAAGAAAAAGAACGAGAGAGACCCTGAAGGTTGAGACTTATGACACCCACCGTAGCCAATGGTGGGTCTTGTTTAGATCCTCATTTGAACAACCAGGGGAGGGGAAGTTAGACAGTCGGGGAATTTGAATACTATTGTTTGTTAAATATTAATATTATTATTTAGGTATGATATATTTTAAATATACAATAAAGTTTCCTTATCTTTTGGGATTTCATAATAAAGTACTTATGAAATGATACATTAGGACTTTACTTTAAAATAATTCAGGAGTTGGGGGTATAGATAGAACAAAATTGGTCATATGTCCATTGTTGAGGCTGGATGATGGGTAAAATGAGGTTTCATTAAGCAGTTTTTTTCCATGTTCCACAGAACAGTTTACTACCATCAATCTTCGTTATTTAAGTGCAAATTAAGAATGTATAGCGAATTTGACTTTCAGTAGAATCTTCTAGTCCTTTTAGGCCTAGTCATTTATTTTGAGGAAGTTAAAGAATTACCTAGGAATAAAAGTTACTCTCCAAAGAATCCTAGATAGTGTCACTAAAAATCATCAAACCAAAATAAATTAATTAATTTAAAATTCATCAAACCAATCTCACTGGAATTGATATTTTTTGACTTTCAAGTTTGTAAGATGCAGGGAGGTAATGTTCCTGGAGTGCAGACCCTTCCATTTGTCCCATTTGTGCTTGTTCAATAGCATTCTTAAGAGATCAGGAATGGGGTGTTAATCTTTCATTATTTTGAGGCCTGGTTGTCCTGAACAAAAACATTTAGTTTGTAGTGCCGCCATAGCTGATTGTGTACATAGCTGGGTTTGTTTGGGACTCAGCTGACATCTTCCAGCTGCAGGAGGCTCTTTAAGTGAGTCTAAGGCGTTGCTTAGTGCCGGGGTCCTGGGTGTCTCTAAGGGACACCTTCCCAGTGTGCACTGTGATTGGCCTTGACTGCTATCAGATGTCTTTGAGCAGGCTCCATCTTTATAAGAAATGAGTCAGTAGCGAAGAGACCTGATCACAGTGCTGATTCACAAAGCCACTTTTTTTTTGATCTCTTAATGTCATCTGTAAATTCTCCTGTGCACGCGTTGACTTGTTCTTTAATCTCCGTATCTGGTAGGTTTGGAGCAGGTATGTTAAGAAGCTGGGGGATTTTGCTAAGCCAGAAAACATTGACTTGGCGGTGCAGTGCCTGAATGAACTGATAACTAATGCCCTGCACCACATCCCTGATGTCATCACCTACCTGTCAAGACTCCGGAACCAGAGTGTGTTTAACTTCTGTGCTATTCCACAGGTATGGATTGGGGCTCCTCTTGGTGTGTGTAGAAGTGGGGGCTGAAGGGAGTGGAGCACTGGTAAGGGGGGTGGAGTGCAACCGACTCTTCTTTACTTGGGGACAGTGTTCCTTAGGGGGTGACTCCAGTGTGTCTCCTCTTGCTGGAGAACAGGCAGTGACTCGCAGTGACTCACAGTACCCCTTTGCCTCCCGGCACTACATTCAGCTCAACCTCAAGGTTAAGTCTGCTCTTTTCCAGGACCAACCTTCTAGATTCACTTTTTGCCCCTTAACTATTCTAAACTAGCTAGATTCTTATGGTCAACAGTTTAATCAAGGGCTTTAGTGTAGGTTTATTGGGAATTCAGGGTAAAACTTAGGTGAAGCTGTTATTATTTTAAAAAATCTTTATTAAACACCTAATATTTCTTCTTTTTCTAGACTTAGGATAACAAACCCTGATCTGTCGATCTGGCCCCTTGATATTCTAGGAGCTTGCTCCTGATAATTGCGTTTACCAGTTATTTCAGTTATCGACTCAAGTTTAATTGAAGAAAGTGAAAAGATTTAACTAGTTTAGAAACTTGGTTTGATTTTGTTCTACTCTGACTACTTTCAAATGGTAGTTGGAACTAAAATCTGCATGTCTATCTAAGGTTCCCATTATCCTAAAATAGTTTGCTGTTCAGAATAGGAAATCGTACCGTCCTGTTGTTTTTCTTCCTATTCATTATTTTGTGTGGTGTGGAGCATTGAACCCAGGGTGCTCTGTCACTGAGCCCACATCCTCAGCCCTTTCTATTTTTTATTTTGAGACAGTGTCTTGCCAATTGCCTAGCTATCCTTAAACTTGTGGTCTTCCTTCCTCAACCTCCTAAGTAACTAGGACTGTGAAGATTCGGAAGGGGCAGGTACCCACCATACCCTGGCACCTCATAGTAATTTTTAATATATAATAATTATGTTCATTGTAGTAAAAAATGTAAAATTCTTTCCAGATATTATTTTGGCCATATTTCAGATCTAGTGACCCATTGCTCTAGCATGGGGAATGACAGATTAACATTTTTTCTAAATAAAATGATAACTTTTGGTGCTGAATTACAGAATAATCTAAAACTGCAGAAGTGCTTGATCTTGTGTGTTGTTGAGAAAGGGGGGGTGGGAAGGCAGAAATCTGGGGCGCTCTCTTGGTCAGTTGCTCACAGCTCTTACTTGGCCTTCTCACCTTGTCCTGCTGAGGATTGCTCGCCCGGCCGTTACGACGTTTTCTCCGTCTCCTGCTGTTTCTAGGTGATGGCCATTGCTACCTTGGCGGCCTGCTACAATAATCAGCAGGTGTTCAAAGGGGTGGTGAAGATTCGGAAGGGGCAAGCAGTGACCCTGATGATGGATGCCACCAACATGCCAGCTGTCAAGGCCATAATATACCAGTATATGGAAGAGGTGGGTTTTGTTTAGCTCCCTGGATAATTTGTAGCTACTTTATGATTTAGATAATGTCACTGTTCACACATACCATGTTTGGAAATTAGATGATCCTAACACCTCACTCTGCTATGGCATGAAGAGACAGGAGTTGGTATCCTTTATGTACAGGAGCTGAGCTGCTGGTTCAAGGCAGCACAGGACCCTGGTAAGAAGAGGTCCATGAAGCAAGACATAGGATGGAGATTCTGGGTTGAATTTTTTTTTTTTTTTTTTTTTGGTAGTGCTAGGGATAGAATCCAGGAACCCAGGGAATTGTGCATACTGGGTAATGCTCTACCACCGAGCCATGCCCCCAGCCCCAAGAGCTGGGAGATGAGGTTTAGACCAATCAGACTTCCTGTTTCAAGGGTGAGTAACGTGAAGGTGATGCTTGTGTAAGCCAATGGAGCACGTGGCTGAGTGGATCCCGTGCTCTAGTCCAGGTGGTTCTGTCACATCACAGGGCTCAACTGGAAACCACAGAAGAGAATTCAGCCAAAACAGAACCATCAAGTTGCAGTCTTTTCTGAGTTTCTTTTGCAAGTCTTGTTTTCAAATGCCACAACCAACCTATTAGATAAAGCATACCCGTTCAAGCCAAATCTTCGACTGTGGAGGGTTTGACTAGCTTCACAATGGTTTTCTAGGAGGCTGGATCTGGGGCGCTCTCTTGGTCAGTTGCTCATAGCTAGACTGAGGGCCTGAGTACTGTTTCCCGGGTGGCAGTGATCTGCCCGCCTTTCATATCAGGGACGATGGGAAACTTCTGGGGATGGTTTTTATTGTCGTGCCTGGTGTGTGTGTGTGTGTTGGGGGAGGTGCTACTGGAATGGGGTGGAAGCCGTGGTCCCTGGATATGATCTTACTGAGTGAAGGCCCTGCTCCTTCCTCCCCTGCTGCGCTGGCCCTCAGGGCTGCTCTCAGCAGCTGTCACCGCCGCCCTACAGGTGCTGGGCAGCTCTGCTCTTTGCTCCGATTCCTTTTACATGTTGCACGTGCTTGTTGTATTTCCTCCTCCTCGTGTTTCCCACCTGACCCCAGCATTTTTCAGGGAGTTCCTCTGTAGGAGTGCTAAGACAAGACCAAATATATTTTTAAAAAAATCTTAAAATTCCCATAGTAATTAAAAATTGCTACCAATCACTCTCTGGTTCACCATATTATCTCATTTATTTTGAGCTTCCTAATAAGTGGGTGCTTATTGATATCAAGGAAATGGAGCTAGAGCCATAATTTGGATCCAGGTCTGATTGGAGATTGGGTGCTCTGGACTACAGTTCCCAGGGGTTCATTTACCCTTTCTCAACAGAATTGTGCCATTTTAAGCACTATTTCTTCATTTTATAAAAATTAGAAGCATGTTAAGTACTATGCAGTTCAGAGATTGTTTTTGTATTCTGATCACTAATTTTAGAAAACAATTTTTAAAAATTTTATGGGGAGCTAGTATGTACCAAGTCCTGGTTTTGATCCCCAGCATCTTTATTTATTTATTTTTTTTCAGAGTAGAAATTAGAAGTTTATTAAAGGACAGCAGAAAAGACTTCTCCCGGAGGAAGAAGGGGACCCAAGAGGTGGAATCCCCCCAGCATCTTTAAAAAAAAAAAAAATGCAGCTGCACTCCTGTGTTAAAGTTCATATTTTACTTGGGCTGTCCTTTACTGTTAGCAATGCTGTTTGTGACTGATGGCTTGGAGGCCAAGGTGGACAGATTGTGATTGGCTGACCTCCTGATTTGTAAGTTCGGTCTCCCTGGAATTCAGCCCGACTCTTTGTTTATCACTGGAGCTGCTTTTGCAATTTAAGGGCACAGTTGGATAGCTGTAACAGGGTGGCCCACAAAGCTAAAAAATAGATACTGGCCCTTTAGGAGAAAGTTGACTGACCTCTGATCTAGGGCATTAGTCGTTCTGTTTTGAAGTTGCCCTCGTGAAACTCAGGGTAATTTGAAGGAAATGCTAATACTTAAGTTGATTTGATAGAGAAATATCTGTGAGGATGTGTGAGTCTGAAGTGTAGAATCTGATAATGGTTTTAGTGTCAGCATTTGGGACATTTTCAAATGAAGTTTGACATGAAGACTTGTGTGAAGTCCACCTTTGCTGGTGTCCAGATGTTCACTGAGTCTGCCCTCTGCAGTATGAAAGGACACGCTTCTGCTCTGTGGACTCCGTGCTTGGCCATAGCGGGTGTGCACCTGGAAGAGGCTCCTCAGAGCTTCTCCTTGCACACCTCTGAACTTGCCTGAGGGGGTGGAGTGAGGTCCCAGGGGCTCCTGAGCAGGTGGATGGACACTGCTTCCAGGCCCTCGTCCGGCCCTTGCTTCAACCGGCCTGCACACTGTGTGCCCAGGAGGCGGTGAGAAGATCGGCCTGCTGTTTTGGGTTAGCAGTAAATGTGCTGGCAAGCAGCCAGAAATGCTCTTTCCCCTCTTGGCCAGGGAGCCTTAGTCTTCTCATGGAAGCTTGCTGCCCCTGTGCCCTGTGGGTACACGAGGGCATCACAGGCTCCAGAGCCTTCGTTGACTAGAGACTGGTGCTTGGCACAGTGGCACTTGACATGATGATGGTTTCTCTCCTGGAAACCCTTTTGCTCTCCTGCTTCTGTCACTGTCTCCTCTGCAGCCTTTGCCTCTGCCTGCTCCCGGCCTCTCTGGCTCCTCTTCCATCTGCGGTGCTGCCTGAGTTCCAGCCTGGTCTCCCTTTTTCCTTACTGACAGATGCTCTCAGAGGGCCCAAAAATATAGCTTTCTGGGCCATTTTTATCTTTTTTTGTCAGTTACTCAGTTCAGACCTGGGGTAGGAGCTTTAAGGTTTTGGTTGTTTTTTTTTTGGTGAATGACATTACGATACACCCAATGTTAGAATCCTGGGGGCATCCTAGAGTTCTTTTCTCCCTAGTCCTATATGTAAGCAGTCCCTAGGTCTAGCCTTATCTGTCTTTATACTTTCATATCAGTCAGAAGGTTGTGTGCTTTACCCTCGGACCTAGCAATTGTAGCCTTTATTCTACAGAAACCTGCAGACAGTGTTGAAGAATGTCTGTGTGCAGCCTTTGTCTTGAGTCAGTTCTAATTGGCAGCTGTGTCAGCTCTCCCTTGCTATAATAAAATACCTGAGTTAATTAAATCATAAAGGTTCACTCTGGCTCTGTTTTGGAGATTCCAGTCCATGTTTGGCCTCATTATCTCAGGCCTGTGGCAAGGCCACACATCATGGCAGGAGTATGGTGGGATAAAGCACCTCTTTTATATCCAGAGCCAGGAAACAAAAGAAGAAGACTAGACTAGGTCCCACAGTCCCCTTAGGGGGCGCACCCTCAGTGACCTAAGAACCTCACTAGGCCCCAGCTCCAATAGGTCCAAGCCTTTATTTAACACACAGGCCTTTGGGGACTTTAGATATTCAAAGTAGGCAGTAGAGAATTTATCATATGCGACACATTCATGTTGAGAAGATTGTGATTAAAAAAAAAGACATTTTGTAAAATGGAGTGAAAAAATCAAATTATAGAAAAGTGTTGACCCTAGTTTTTAAATTACATATGTAATTTCATGTGTATGAAGTGCATTCACATTTATACATAACTCTAGATGATGTATTTTTATACGTGATGACTTATGGGTTTATCAGTAGGCTTATAGGGCATAATATATATGTCAGCCTGTGGATGAGGAAGACTGGGGGCTTTGACTTTTTTTCGGTACTGGGATTTGAACCGAGGGGTGCTTAACACATGAACCACATCCCCAGGCCTTTTTAGTGTTTTATCCAGAGACAGGGTCTCACTGAGTTGCAAGTGCCTCGCTAAGTTGCTGAGGCTGGCTTTGAACTCATGATCCTCCTAACTCAGCCTACTGAGTTGCTGGGTTTACAGGTGTGTGCCACCACAGCTGGCTCCCAACTTTTTCTTTTGTACTGCTATCACAAGCAGAATTTCATTGTCTCAATTTTATTTTATAGAAATTAATGTTAGTGTCTTCCCTCACCTCTGATTTTCTCTCTAGTTATCTTTCATATCACAATACCTGACATTAGCTATCATTAGCTTGTTGCTGCAGGCATATTCTTTTATTTCCTCATTGTATTAAATTCCCACTGTGTTTTTGGGGGATAAGGGTGGCAAGAATAGAAGATATCTTTGTAAAAAATACCCATCATATAAAGAAAATTTGGGGTAATGATTTTATTTAAAACGCACCTGTTGTGTCTTCTCCGCTGTGTGCAGACCTGGGTCAGAACATTATTACTTCCACTCATAACCTTCTACCTGGCTTCTCAGTTCCATTCAGTATTTGCTGAGGTCCTACTGTGTGGCAGGCACAGTGCAGAGTTAGAGATCAGGAGGTGAATGAGAGAAGCAGTCTAGTAAGGGAGTCCTGTACCAGTGTATTGTTTCCACGAAAGTGATAAGGTCAGAGTATGTCTAGGAGAGTGACTCTTGGCCCAGCCTGCAGGTGCTGGGAGCGATAGTATGGGAGCCAGGATGTGGAGGTGCATCTGAGAGAGGGTGTGGGAGGGGAGAAGGCAGCAGGAGTGTACAGTAGAGCCGGGCGCTGTGGCGCATGCCTATAATCCCAGCAGCTCGGGAAGCTGAGATATAGGATCATGAGTTCAAAGCAGCCTCAGCAAAAAAAAAAGTGTGCTTTGCATGCATGAAGCAAAGGAGCACAGTGGCCTCCGCTTGGAAGGTGTGTGCCCTGGCCGTGGTGCCTCATGTTCACTGAAGGAGCTCAGACTCTTCCAGAGGTGAGGGTATGGAAAAGTTTCAGTCTCTCTGTGAACAGACGAGCAGACTGGGCTCAAGCAGAGAGGCAGGAACTCAGAATGGGACAGCTGAGGTGACTGACCAAGGCCTGGCCTTGAGCAGTAATGGAGGGCAGTGTGTGGGGGCGTGGACACTGCAGTGCTTCAGAGGTTTGTGGAACAGAAAGGAGGACTTGGGTGGCTTGGGACTCCCTGCTTCATGGCCATTCCACACGCTGCGTCTTTTGCCTAACTGCTCTGCCTGCTTTTCCAGAATCACTTCATTTTTTCCGCACTACTCGGGTCAGCCTAGTTGAACTGTCAACATTTGCTGTGTGCCTGGCCTGTGGGGTGCTGGAGTCTGGCATCCACATGGTGCCACCCCTCGGGGGTTCTCAGTAGCTGCCTCCTGTGGGCTGGGTGGCCGTGTTGCCCCTTAGTTGGTGTGAAGGACCTGGGTTGACGCCCCTGCCTGGTCGGCAGTGAGGGGGCAAGTTACTTCCATGTCCTCTGGGCCTGTTTCCGGGTCGCTGAGCGGGCGGAACGTGCCTGTCTGTTGAGGACTGCTGTAAAGGTGACCACAGGAAATGCTAAAGCACTGGACACCTTCTGTGGCACTCACAGCTTTTCCTCTTCAACAGATTTATCACAGAATCCCCAGCTCGGACCCGTCTTCCAGTAAAACCAGGCACATCATCTCCACCATCAGGACGCAGAATCTTCCCAATTGCCAGCTGATCTCCCGAAGCCACTACTCCCCGCTGTACCTGTCCTTTGTCATGCTCTTGGCTGCCCTGAGCTGGCAGTACCTGAGCACCCTGACCCAGGTCACAGAAGACTATGTTCAGACAGGAGAGCACTGACTGGGATCTGTTGGGAGCCGCCGTTCACGTGCGATGGAGTCACCGTTCTCAGGGGTGGATGTTGGCTTCCCTTTATGTTTTTTATTCCTACGTTAATCCCTCAAAGAACTACTTGGACCTTCACAGACTGAAATACAGAGTTTAAAAGAATATGAAAATACAAGGAAAGTGGGCCTTGCCCTCAGCAGGCTATGCTTGCAAGTCCCGGTCACCCTGCTGCACTGTGGGACGGCAGGGATCTCCCTCAGCGAGGCCTGGCTGCAAGAATGATTAAATGTATTTAATTTGAAGCAACTTTTGAATACTGTCAGTAGAAAATGAAGTGACTTTTCCTTCTGTCTGGTGCCTGGTTTTCCCCTCATTCTGTTCCCTCTAGTTGGGCTGAACGTGGTAGATGTGAATGCAGAGTTCTAGGTGTTTCCTAAGAGTGCAGACTTGCCTCTACACGAGGATGCGGGGAATAAAGTCTTGGCATTATTTTCTCATTTTAAAGGGCCCTTCAGTAAAGGTGTTTCTGGGTATTTACAGTAATAGGTGCAATTGCTCTCTGTCTAATGCAGTTCACCTGAGTCCACTTGATCATGGGACAGATGGAGTTAGTGATCAGAGGACAAGGGCATCTGTTGCCACTGTGAAGCCAGTTAGCAAGTACCAGGAGGGACAAGCTGGCTGCCCTGGGTAGCAGTGGCCGAGCAGGCGGGCAGGCGACAGGGTAGCTGTTCCCTGGCTGCCTCCCTGTGAGGCTAGTCATCTCAGCTGCATTCAGACACATTAAGACTTTTCCTCCTAGCTTTTTTCCCTTAAATTTCCAGTCTATACACCAATGTCTCAAGAAAGGGAGAGCTATTTTCAGATGAAGGTCAAGTGGCACCCAGCCTCGTTCCCCCTCAGTGGGTTCGCCCTCCTTAACTCCAGCACAGTCGGGGCTGGTGTAAACTCCCTCCTGCCATGGCTCACTGCATCTCTGCCTGGGCAAGGAAGTCATGGTTCCCGCCAAGGGTCTCTCCAGAAAAGCCTTTGGGAGAGTCAGCGTGACCGGCACTGCTGTGAGGCATAGCTCTCTCTCGTCACATTATCAAAATGCCTGAGGCTGGGTACCGTATGTGGGAAAAGGAGTTCAGGACTGGAGATGTGACCCGTGGTGGGGTGCTCACCCAGCAAGGGTTTGAGCCCCACCAACACAAGAGGAGGAGGGGAAAGGCTTCTTTATAAATGCTCACAGTTCGGGAGACTGGAAGTGAGGGTTGGGTGGCCCTGCCTGTCCAGCCTGGGGTCCGGGCCCCCTGGAGGATGGCATCACAGTGGTGGGAGACTGGAAGCGAGAGGGAGTCAGGGCCCAGCGGGCTCTTTTATAACAGACTCACTCTAGAAGATCAGCATTCACCACTTCTGAAGGTGAGTCCCCACCACCTCCACGTCACTACCCTGGGGACCAAGCCTCCTGCACACAGACCTCTGGAGGACACTCAGGGCACTGCAGTGTGCACAGCCTCTTGTCCCAGTCTACTGCGTGTAAGGTGACTCAATGACTGAATTTGGGTTTTTCCTAAGTAATGTTGGGTTAGCACTGTTACAGAAATGGGTTTTCTATGACCACTAGAGACACCTGGCTCAAGTTTGGGTCCATGAAGATTTATAGTTAATTGGTTTGTTCAGGCTTAGCCCTGGACCAACTTGTCATCAGTGCTGAAGCTAGTTAAGGTGACTTGCTGTATGGAAGTACTTTGCAAGTACTTTGCCAAGACTCGACTTGGGATTTTAAGGTAAGTTGTTGCATTCCCCCCTGCCCCAGAACTGGGGACTAAACCCAAGGGCACTCTATCACTAAGCTACATCCCCAGCCCTTTTTAAGACGAGGTCTCCCCAAGTTGCCCAGTCTGGCCTTGAATTTATGATCCTCCTGACAGCCTCTGGAGCCACTGGAATTACAGGCATGTGCCACATGTCCTGCTCGATTTTATTTTTTTAGTATAACTGTACGTAAGTATTCACCTAGGATTCAAACAATTGGGCATCCTGCTCGCCACTTTCAGTATCATTTACAGCATTCGACACGGTCTGTTTCCTGTTCACAGTGGAGTGTTCCGCCCAGCCCATCAGAATCTAGGAATTTAAAATGAACAACAGCTGGGAGTGGGAGCCTGACCGCTATGGTTAACTACTGTGCCATTTCCCAGGGGCGCTGGTGTGTGTAGGGGGAGAGGTAGTCATTTTTGGCAGTTTTGGAAACTTGAGCTCCTAAGTTTGTGGTTTTGAAACATTAGTGTGAATCACAATTACCCGATCACCGGGACCACAGACTTTCTGACCTAGTAGCCTGGTGTGGTGCCCAAGAATTTGCTAACCTAAGTTCTCAGGTGACAGGAACCGGGCTGGTGGAGAGATCAGGCTAAGGATCACTGCTCAAAGGCATTGTTCCTCAAACTTCAACCTCCCTAGGAATGAGCGCGTCTGGTCAGGCTGCACGCTGACTCAAGTGCGGCGCTCATTCTAGCACTGGCTAACAGGCAGTGAAGCTGGGCTGCAGCCCATTAAAGTGGCAAGGCTCCCAGAGGACGGTGCTCTGAGGCCTGAGAGGAAAGGTGGAACTCTCCCAGACTGACCTCCAGGGAAGACCGAAAAGGCACTGTCCCGCCTGTCCTCCCATGTGGACAGGCGTCCAGGAGGACCTTTGGAGCAGACATGATCCAGGGGGTCATTTCTGGCTGACTGAAGCCTTGAGATCCATCCCAAACACTGCAGAGCGGTTCTTCTGGTAAAGCCTTCACGTGTGATGCTGTCCCAGTGCCTTCTGGTGCTTCATGAAGCACACCCTGGCTGGCTCCACGGGTGGGAATGGAGTTGCAGGTGGGTACACGGTGGAAGAAGAACGGGAGTGGAAGCGTGGGAGCAGTGGAACTGTTAGCAACTCACTGAGGTCAGGAATATATTTGAAATTGCAGGAGTAAAGTGACTAGGAATTTGTGGCTTGAATAACCTTGTGAAACATTTTCTAAGTACTATAAAGAGCACCACGAACTCTTCTGTAACCTTCACCAGGTTGCTGTTGCAGTGTGGATCAACCCAGGGCCTCACGCACTGGTAGTTCTTCCACTGACACCCCCCCGCAAACCAGGTTTTTAAGAGCTTATTTGATGTAGCCTCTAATTCCTAACTTACTGGAAGACAAGCTTCCCAGGTGGGGAAGGGAAATAACTATGGGCAGGCAGGTGAATGAGTGCTGATTATTGTAGTTTCTGGTTCCCTCAAGAACTGGTGCACTTGGTTATGATACTTCACTAGGATTATGCAAAGGAGTAGTTCTTGGACAGCAATATAAACTAGTGAACAAAAGGGAACTCAAAACACCACACACAGGCTCTGGCTCCACCCTGGGAGATGTGTCTCCTGGGAAATGGACAACCTGATCTGGAAGACCAACATGGTGCTGCACCTTGAAACCTCAGCAGATTGTGGGGCTTGTGGGTGAACAGTGGAATACAACTAGGTCCTTACCTTTGAGCAGGGACAAGCTTGTCAAGACAGAAGGGTTGATGAGGATGACAGGGAACCAGGGAGAGACAGATGCCCTGACTTGAAAACACGAAGCAGTTTCCAGAAGGCTAAAGACCACAAGTGCACAGGCCAGGACCACAGGGCCCCGTCCGGAGGATACTGAGGCACCATCAGCAGATTTCACTAAAGGAGAAACCTTTTATTGGCACAGTCATTCCTTGTTAAATTGACAGGGTGAAGATGTAATTTTTCAAAAACAGTAAAAGCTGATTTCTCCCAAACTAGTTTCAATGTGGTAGTCAAGGTCAGTAGGTCAGCCAGCAAATCATGACCACTTGATTTGTTTTAAGCCAGACCATTGGGAGACAATCTGTAAAAATGAGTATAGCTCTTCCAGCTATTAGATTTGTTCATTCACATGATCAGCTGAGGTGCACAAAAAATAAAACTTCTATTAAAAAAGAATCAGCCAAGGACAGAACCAGAGAGGGCTTACAGCACTACCAAGGGCCATGGATGCAGGTGCCCTGGGTTGACGCGGCTTTCTCCAGAGGATTGCACGCCATGCCTGCTATGGACCTGTGGCATCTAGAAGGCTACTTGCTTAGAGGCACTGCTCCACGTGGGCATTTGTCCTGTTGGGACTCCACAGACCCTTCCTTTGGAAAGCCTGCAGCCAAAGCCGGTGGGTCTGTCGCTGCCTGGACGAGGGGTGGGAGGGTGTTGCAGCCAGAGCCGGAGCAGCAGGCACTACAAACAGCACTAGTCTACGGGGAAGACTCAGGGTGCACTGTGGCCATTGTCCACTGAACAGCCTGGGGGGGAGCAGGAATGGACACGTTTCCTTGGAAGACAGTTCTACCGGGAGGCGTGAGTTTGGCCTGATCCAGTTCTTTAGACCCTGTCTACAACTTCTTGTACCTTATGTGAACTCAAAGAATAAAAGACATTCTTGCCCGCGTCTCACACCCCCAGACCAGTTGGCTACGTTTAGGGAAACCCCCAGGACTGGCCAGCCAGGCCTGCGGCAGACTAGATCTTTGCCCAGTATTGCTCAGTGCGTGGGATTCCAGCCACAATTTCTGATTCAATTCCACAGTGATCCTCTCCTCTGAGGATTTTAAAGAACCCTGGAAACAGAAAGAAAGGTGCTTTGAATGTATGCCTTCATTTCTGATCCTTGTCAATAATTCAGACTCACTCCAAGGGCTGAGAGTGAGTCACCTGCCCCCTGCAGCACCACTGTGCTCTCAGCTTCTGGCCCAGCAGCCGGGCCCTCCCCTCTCCAGGCACTTTCACCAACCCCAGGTCACCTTCACAGCCTGGTCCAGTGGGAGCTGCTGTGCAGAGCTTCCTGGAGCCACGGCCCGGTGCACACCACCCTCTCAGGCTCAGAGGCTGTCTACGTACGTGGAGAAGTCCCAACCCACCAGCACCCAGTCTGTTCTGGCTCATGACTCCCTATCTGCAGCAGGAAGGGGGCTGCCACTCACCGTTGTCACCCCAGTCAGTGTTCCAGGAGTTGGCCACCAGCCAGTAAGGGATGCCATTCTCTACCCCCCAGCCAAGGATGCGGATGGCGTGGCCTCCCATCATCTCTCCAGCAACATGCTTGTACACTCCTGAGGAAGGGAAAGCCAGTTCAGACCAAGTCCAGGCCACCATCCCGCTCCACAGCACCCCGACTCAGCTAGCCACCCCCAGCAGCAGAGACAGGCCTCCCAGCCAGACCCTGGGTTCCATCGACAGAATACAGACAGACAAAGGGCTAGAACACCACTGCTCCATCAGAAGACTCCAGGGGCTCCCGTGATATAGGGAGATAATCCACACGTGGTTTTGG